GGAGGTGAAGAAACCAAGCAAAATTGGCACTTGATCTCCAAAATGGTGAAGAAAGCTCAATAGAACAGTAGCAACTGACCAGCCTTTCCAGCATTCATGTAGCAACAGAAAACCTAGGGCTTTGTGCCCTTAACAAGGGTATTTATAGCCACTTACCCAATTAACACACAGTATTAACTTTAATTGCTACGCTTAGCATTTTAATCCCAAACTTTGGATTATGAAACTACATAATTTTCTAAGATTTATCATATTTTTCTTATAATTTTCTGAGCACTTTTCCGGTACGCGCTTTTCCAAGCCAGTACCGGTTTCCAGCACCAGTTCTCATTATCTTGACTTGAAACTCGTTTTACAAGTCCTACATATCATTCTAGTAATTATCATGCACTTACATTAATTTTACGGGATACTTTTTTGGCACGCATTTATACCGACTAGCAGAACCGGTATCTGCACTTTTCTTCCGAAAAGTGACTTTCAGCATTCTTAATCACTTATTACGATTTCTAAGCCTCATAAACCCTAAACCCGAAACCCTAAACCTAAACCCCTAAACCCTAACCCATAACCCCTAAGCAATAAACTTCTAACCCTAAGCCTTAAATCCTACTCCCTGAACCAATAACGCTTAACCCATAAACCCTGAACCCTTAAACCATGAATCCTAAATCCTAAAACCCTAAAATTATAACCCTGAAACTTGATCCATAAACCCTAAAACCACTTGTTCACTAACCACTAAATCCCTAACCCAAAACCCCTAACCCCTAAGCCCTAACCCCTAACCCCTAACCCCTAAGCCATAAGCCCTAACCCCTAACCCCGAACCCCTAACCCTTAACCCCTAACCCCGAACCCTGAACCCCGAACCCGTAACCCCGAACCCGTAACCCCGAAACACTAACCCCGAAACCCTAAACCCGAACACTAAACCCCGAACCCCAAACCCGAAACCCTAAACCCTAAACCTAACTCCCTACCCCTAAACGTGAACCCCTAAACGCGAACCCCTAAACCCTAAACCCTAACCCCGAACCCCTAACCCCTAAACCCTAACCCTAAACCCCTTACCCCAAACCCCTGCAATATAAAAAAGAGAGAGAAAAAAAAATAGTATGATAATAGAAAGAAGGTAAACATTGTCCAAAATCAAATAATTTCATTTAAAATAACATATTTAAAATAACAAATATTTTTTCATTAAATTATTTACAAATTAAGGTAAAAAACGAGAGTATTTGCCAACGATTACAAACAAACACCGAAAATAGTTCTGAAGTATCATCGAATAAGCAGCGACGAGTTTTAGCCGGAGGAGTTTCTTCTCTCATCCTCTGTTATTTTGTTGTCGTCGCTTTGGTCGACTGTGTGCGTATGCAGGATACTCTGCAAAACAGTACTAGAGAAGAGATGAGTCTGAAATCACAAGGTACATAACCTCTTCTCTGTCCCTTTTTATAATGGAATTATGGAATCAATTCCTATTATTTTTTTCGTTCGTTCTCTCGTCCATTCAGTAGTGTAGCAATCTATGATTTTGGTTGATCTTGTCCGTCGGTTGCCCTAACCCCTAAACCCTAACCCCTAAACCCGAAACCCTAAACCTAAACCCCTAAACCCTAACCCATAACCCCTAAGCAATAAACTTCTAACCCTAAGCCTTAAATCCTACTCCCTGAACCAATAACGCTTAACCCATAAACCCTGAACCCTTAAACCATGAATCCTAAATCCTAAAACCCTAAACATATAACCCTGAAACTTGATCCATAAACCCTAAAACCACTTGTCCATTAACCACTAAATCCCTAACCCAAAACCCCTAACCCCTAAGCCCTAACCCCTAAGCCCTAACCCCTAACCCCTAACCCCTAAGCCATAAGCCCTAACCCCTAACCCTTAACCCCTAACCCCGAACCCTGAACCCCGAACCCGTAACCCCGAACCCGTAACCCCGAAACCCTAACCCCGAAACTCTAAACCCGAACCCTAAACCCCAAACCCCAAACCCGAACCCCAAACCCCAAACCCTAAACCCTAAACCTAACTCCCTACCCCTAAACGCGAACCCCTAAACGCGAACCCCTAAACCCTAAACCCTAACCCCGAACCCCTAAACCCTAAACCCTAACCCTAAACCCCTTACCCCAAACCCCTGCAATATAAAAGAGAGAGAGAAAAAAAAATAGTATGATAATAGAAAGAAGGTAAACATTGTCCAAAATCAAATAATTTCATTTAAAATAACATATTTAAAATAACAAATATTTTTTCATTAAATTATTTACAAATTAAGGTAAAAAAACGAGAGTATTTGCCAACGATTACAAACAAACACCGAAAATAGTTCTGAAGTATCATCGAATAAGCAGCGACGAGTTTTAGCCGGAGGAGTTTCTTCTCTCATCCTCTGTTATTTTGTTGTCGTCGCTTTGGTCGACTGTGTGCGTATGCAGGATACTCTGCAAAACAGTACTAGAGAAGAGATGAGTCTGAAATCGCAAGGTACATAAGCTCTTCTCTGTCCCTTTTTATAATGGAATTATGCAATCAATCCCTATTATGTTTTACGTTCGTTCTCTCGTCCATTCAGTAGTGTAGCAATCTATGATTTTGGTTGATCTTGTCCGTCGGTTGCCCTAACCCCTAAACCCTAACCCCTAACCCCTAAACCTGAAACCCTAAACCTAAACCCCTAAACCCTAACCCATAACCCCTAAGCAATAAACTTCTAACCCTAAGCCTTAAATCCTACACCCTGAACCAATAACGCTTAACCCATAAACCCTGAACCCTTAAACCATGAATCCTAAATCCTAAAACCCTAAACATATAACCCTGAAAATTGATCCATAAACCCTAAAACCCCTTGTCCACTAACCACTAAATCCCTAACCCTAAACCCCTAGCCCTAAGCCCTAAGCCCCTAGCCTTTAAACCCCTAGCCCCTAAAGCCTAAACCCTAAACTCTAAACTCTAAATTCTAAATTCTAAACTCTAAATCCTAAACCCTAAGTCCTAAGCCTAAGCTTTAAGCCCTAAAACCTAGACCTACAACGCTGAACCCTTAAGCCCTGAATCCTAAATCCTGAAACCCTAAGGGTCTGTTTGGAGCACCTGATAAAGAAGATAGGATATAATAACTTAACATATCCTACTTTTATCTCTTGTTTGGTGGGTCAAAAGGATATGATTAGCTTATCCTATTGTCTCATTTTATCCTATCCAATACATGATTTCTTATCCTATGGGGGAGCTGGGTTAGGATTCAACAGGATAGGATACCAATATTGGATACCCAATATTTCCCCCCGTTACCTCCCTTCCAAACCCACTCCTCCCTCTCGACCATCTCCCTCCTCCTCGTCCTTATCGAACTCCCTCTCTCTGTTCTTCTCATGCGAGTGAGGCTCAACGCAGTTTGGTGTGGTTGGAGCATTCAGTTTCATGTGTCTCTTCATTTATCTATATAGCATGTTGATGAACTCGTACTCTTAATTTTTTCTCTCTCCATCATCCAAGGATTTTCCATCTTTTTCTTTTGTTAAAATTTCCTTCGGAGTCGTGAGCTAAGAATTATTCCTTGCCTTTCCGCAAAAAGATCCCTGAGTTTCCTCACCTTGTTTCTCCACAAGAACCCCAATTCCAGGATTTATTGTTCCTAATCAGAACAAATTTCTCCACAAGAACCCTAAACCCCAATTTTTGAATTAGGTTATCTTAAACAGAACAAAATTTCATAATCTTATCAGATTGCTAATCAGGTGCTTATCAAACACAGGACATGATATAAGCTTATCAACCCCATATCATATCATACCCTTATCCAACTCTCTTATCATATCCGTTCTTATCCTATCATGTGCACCAAACGAAACCTAAACATATAACCCTGAAAACTGATCCTAAAACCCTGAATCCTGAATCCTGATCCCTAGACCCTAACCCTAGCACTGGACCCTAGACCCAAAACCAAGATCCTAAACATAGCCTTAGCCCCTAAACCCTAGAATTATAATTTAAATTTTTTTAATAATAAAATAATGTTATTTCAATATATATTTTTGATTTCAATAAGTAATAAATTAATAAGTCGGTTAAGATTTTTTATTTTTAAAAAATATATCACAATCAAAATATTTTATAAAATAAATATTTAACCATTTATATCAAATAATTTCAATTAAATTTGATTTTGTCATAAAATAAATATTACAATAAATAATATAAAAGACGATGGATTTTGATTCCACTGTAAATCTAAGAAGTCTTACTTTCTATTTAGTTATTAATTTTTGTCTATCTAATGGTCGTAATTTATATGAAATTAATAATTATTTAATTAGTATAATTCAATAAATTATAATCATTACATCGTTAAAAATCAATAGTTAAGATGCGAAATAAGATTTTTTAATCTTACACTAGAATGAGAAGATCCCTCTTAATATATAATCGTATTACATTTTTTTTTTGTAAGCTAATCATATTATATTTAAGTAATGAGAAAAATAGGGAATAACATCTGTCATTTTAAAGGATATAAGCTTATATCATTTTATATCCTAACCGTTGATTTCCGTCCATCAACGGTTATAATTTATTGGATCAAAATTATTAATTAATTAATAATAAATTTGGCCCATTAAGTTTGACCCAATAAATTATAACCGTTGATGAATGGAAATCAACGGTTAGGATCTAAAATGATATAAGTTTATATCCTTTAAAAGGATAGATGTTTTTCCCGTAAAGTATATAACTTTATGTAATTTTAAATGAGAAGACTCTATTTTGTGATTTTTTTTATCTTCTCTCGTCCACAATATAAAAGAGAGATAGAAAAAAAATAGTATGATAAGAGAAAGAAGGTAAACATTTTCCAAAATCAAATAATTTCATTTAAAATAACATATTTAAAATAACAAATATTTTTTCATTAAATTATTTATAAATTAGGGTAAAAAACAAGAGTATTTGCCAACGATTACAAACAAACACCGAAAATAGTTCTGAAGTATCATCGAATAAGCAGCGACGAGTTTTAGCCGGAGAAGTTGCTTCTCTCATCCTCTGTTATTTTGTTGTCGTTGCTTTGGTCGACTGTGTGCGTATGCAGGATACTCTGCAAAACAGTACTAGAGAAGAGATGAGTCTGAAATCGCAAGGTACATAAGCTCTTCTCTGTCCCTTTTTATAATGGAATTATGGAATCAATTCCTATTATGTTTTACGTTCGTTCTCTCGTCCATTCAGTAGTGTAGCAATCTATGATTTTGGTTGATCTTGTCCGTCGGTTGCCCATACATTGACTGATAGGTTTTGTATACAGTTTATTAGGGTTTGTCTTCAGTATGTGGATATGGTGCCAGGTATAGGGATCTTCATAAACCCAGTCTATAGTAACTACTCCTATTTTTATTTTGAATTTAATTTTCTGATAACCCATCACCGTCATTTATATATCTTTCGTTTCTCTCTCTCTCTCTCTCTCTCTCTCCTTTCTTCAATACTTGGTTGTCTCACTCCTTTTATAATCGTTCTTTTGGCTTCTTTTCTTTCAAGGAAGTTTTGTTAGAATGATTGAATATTGACTAGCAGAAAGATTACGGGGAAACATCAGACATGGATGTTGGGGGCAATTCTCTACCGTCTGCACCTGATGGGGTGAAGAGAAAGGTGTGCTATTTCTATGATCCAGAGGTTGGGAATTACTATTATGGGCAAGGTCACCCTATGAAGCCACATCGTATACGGATGACACATGCTCTTCTTGCCCACTATGGATTGCTTCAGCATTTGCAGGTCCTCAAGCCCTTTCCTGCCAGAGACAGGGATCTTTGTCGTTTTCATGCTGATGATTATGTTGCATTCCTTCGAAGTATAACCCCTGAAACACAGCAGGATCATCTGAGGCAACTCAAACGCTTTAATGTTGGCGAAGACTGCCCTGTCTTTGATGGCCTCTACTCCTTCTGTCAAACTTATGCCGGGGGTTCAGTTGGTGGTGCTGTCAAGTTGAATCATGACCAATGTGATATCGCTGTCAACTGGGCTGGGGGCTTGCATCATGCCAAGAAGTGTGAGGCTTCTGGATTTTGCTATGTTAATGATATAGTCCTCGGAATCTTAGAACTTCTTAAACAGCATGAGGTTTGTCTAACAGTGAATTTCCATTTCGTTTCCTTTTTTGTTATGCTTTAGTGGTATATTAATTTTGTCGAAATGTTTGAATTTTTTATAATTCAACATCTTTAGGATTTAGTGGCGAATAAGTACTTAAGTGAATAATGAGGGATCATGTTAGAGAATAATATAAACCATTAAAAAGGCCATCACCCAACACCTTAAGGTTTTGGGTTGAAGTGGTTCTTTATATGGTATCAGAGCTTCAGTGACCATAAGGTCACGAGTTCGATCTTCATCACCCCCCCCCCCCCCCCCACTTATGGAATTAAATAAGCATAAGGTAAAACCAAAAAGAAAAAAAAAATGGGCCTGTGCAATATTCACATTTCAAGCCCAAAGGGCTCTTACGTAAGGGGTTATGTTAGAGAATAATATAAACCAGTAAGAAAGCCATCACCGAACACCTTAAAGTTTTGGGTTGAAGTAGTTCTTTGTAGATCATAGCTCAAATATGCAGTATATTATTAAGAATAAAAGAGTATTCCTCTATCTGAGATTCTTTTATTTTCGATCCTTCTGGTCACACAGAAACGATGCTAAATTTATTGGAACACAAGCCCTTTTAAAAGAGTTACTTTCCACCTTGTGAAGCATTTATTGTTAACTCTCAACATCACATACTCCATGCCTACTATGACCGGCAGATGAAGTCATCAGTCATTAGTCAGTATCCTTTGCCACATTAACAGTATTAAAGAATGCATTCACAGATTTCACTTCTCAATCTCTAGGAGTATTATTATTGGTTACATTTCAGGAGGAAGCTTCCTGAGATATACATATCAACAGCCAAGCTTGTCATCCTTAATGCATCTACAAAAAAGTAAGTTTGAGCAATACCAATTTTACCCCCAACAGAAAACATTCCTCCAATTTATAATTTTAAAAGACATCATTACAAAAAACTTGCATATTGTAATGGATTATTTTCCTCTTCAGAATCTTCATCCTTTTATAATTTCACATTCACCAACCTTGGGAAGCTGAGCTAAAAACCTGAAAATTTCTGTATAAAAATATTCAGGACAAGTCAATCCAGAGAAGTAGCTTGGCAGCTCTCGTGGTAGTCATTGTAGAAAGAAGTTTAATGTTCACTGGAGATCTTTGATTATAGCCTTTTTTGTGCGCATTGGCTAATTATTTTGTGTTAATTTAAAGGAAAAATGCTGTCGTAGAAATCTCCGAGGTCATTTACATTGTAATCTTTTTAAACCAATAGAATGTATTTTTTATGGCATTACTTGAACAATAGGGCCTGATTAGTTGGCAACATGGCATGCCTGAGGATTTGGCTGAGTCAAGTTTTTCATATTTTCATCATGCACTTTGAGTTAACTAAGAATTCTTGGTATATAAGTTTGACGGATTTGTTCTTTATATCACCTATCAGATAAGTAATCTTTTGGCTCCTCTACTGGCTGTTCATAACAGGAGTTTTTGTTACTATTGATACTTTGTACAATATTAGAATACTGTTTAGTAGGTTTGATATGTGATAATTTAAAGTGAGAGGGAATCTATCATTATTTCTTCATTTGCTTCTTAATTGTTCAAACTCTGATAGTGGTGGTAATTTTCTTTAGTTTCCTTCAGTTGTTTCTTATATGCTATATGCTTTTCCAAGGATAGTCTATAATAATATTTCTGTTTCTGCTTCAATTATATATTATTTTAGTTCTAAGTTGAGGTTCCTTGTACATGCATATAAGTGTCTTCAACTCTTAACAAAAATGAGGGGATAAAATGTAAGATTTTAAACTTGGTGTTTTCAATTTGACTTGGACGGAAACTTTAGGGAGGTGAAGTGTTGCTATCCTGAGCTTCCCAAGTTTCTCTTGTAAACTTGTGTCTTCCTATTTTAAAATGCTAATTTTACATTTGTTGCAGCGTGTTCTATATGTCGACATTGATATTCACCATGGAGATGGTGTGGAGGAAGCTTTCTACACTACTGACAGAGTCATGACTGTTTCTTTCCACAAATTTGGTGATTATTTTCCTGGTACAGGGGACTTACGTGATATTGGGTATGGAAAGGGAAAATACTACTCTCTTAATGTTCCGCTTGATGATGGCATTGATGATGAGAGTTATCATTTCTTGTTCAAACCAATAATTGGCAAAGTGATGGAAGTGTTTCGGCCTGGTGCAGTAGTTCTCCAGTGCGGTGCAGATTCTTTATCTGGGGACAGATTGGGATGCTTTAATCTTTCAATTAGGGGTCATGCAGAGTGTGTAAAATACATGAGATCATTCAATGTGCCCCTCTTACTACTGGGTGGTGGTGGCTACACCATTCGGAATGTTGCTCGTTGCTGGTGTTATGAGGTAGAATGTCGTTTTAATTGGTAAAATTACTGTCATTTATTTAATGTAACACCATTAAATATAAGGTAGCATGGTCTATAGGGCTACCATGTTTGAGTTGGGGTAATTGCAAGTGCCACAGCCCGCAAGTAGAGTTATTATATTGCAATTCTAATATTTTCTCCATCTTTTAATATTAATTAAAAAAAAGCTATACATGAAGTCACTCTAAAATTTCATTATAAGTAATGATGTTAGAGGGTCAAAGTAGTTAAGTTATTGTTTCCTTTCACTAGTCTTGTATTCAATGTTAACTATTAAATATAAATTGAGATATCCTAAAGCCTCTCAATATTCAATATGACTTGCCATGTAGTTGCTGTTTCTCACTTCTTAGCTTGTTCATCATGTTTTAATATTTATGTATGATTTGAGTCATTCTTCTGTATAGCTTTTCATCCAAACACATAAAATTGTATGTGTTATATTTTTTAATTTTATTTTTTTTGTGGTAATCATATGTGTTATTTGTTAAGGCAGACAGGAGTTGCTCTTGGAATAGAAGTTGATGACAAAATGCCACAGCATGAGTATTATGAATACTTTGGTCCAGATTATACCCTTCACGTTGCCCCAAGTAACATGGAAAACAAAAATTCCCGTTATTTACTTGATGAAATTCGATCTAAGCTACTTGAGAATCTTTCAAAGCTGCAACATTCTCCTAGTGTCCAATTTCAGGAAAGGCCTCCTGATTCTGAACTTGGAGAGGTAATTTCTGTTGCCCCCGGTGCTGTTTATCATTTTACAAATGCTAACCATGATATTATCGCCTTTTTGAACTTAGCAAGAAAGGAGAGGGAAAAAAAAGATTGATGTCCACTTTTCCTAGTTACTCTAAGACTATTTGCTCAGGTGGACTTTTTCGTTTTTGGGGTTGGGTGGATATAATATCTTCAAATACACAAGTCCAGTGAGTGTTAACCAAGGTGTAGAAATGGATTGAAAATGTTTTCCCTACACTAAGAGGATCTTATGATTAAGGAATTTGCTTATTCTCTCTTCCCATTTCTCAAACTGCAGATATTATTGTTGGAAATGCAAGTGTGTGATAAGTAATTCTCACATTGGTTAGGAATGAACTAAGTAAGGAACATATAAAACTCATAAACCTAACGCCTTAAGTTTTTGTGTTGAAATGTGGTGTCGAGCTTGCTTATCGTTGTTTGTTCTTGAGCCTATTGATGCGTGGAGGTCTCTCTTGCTTTGGGCTGCATAATAGCGGTATCAAATTTCAATGGTTCAACTGGGCTAGCCATGTGTTTAGTTTTGGTGAGTATTTGGACATGGTGGTTGGTGTTGTTCGGGTTTGTTGTCTCCCCAAGCCCATATCACGGAGCCAAGTGTTGATTTTTTGTTGGTAATCCCAAATACTAAAAGAAGTATCCGTTTGAGGGGGAGAAAATGTTGGGACTAGGACTCACACTTGAGGGGAGAAAATATTAGGATTATTATTAGGATTCTAATAATAATCCTAATATATTCTACCAATCACATTAAAGGCTTCACAGTCCATGCCCACTCAAGGTGATTTTTACTGTTCAAGTCATGAACAGTTTGTTGAATGTTATTTGGTCCTGCTGAAGGAAGGAATAGTGGAAAACACTGCCCATTACCTATCCTGAGGACATTGGGCAACACTTGGTGCATGTCATGGCTGTTTTAACCATGGCTCCGGTTAGTCCCGGTTCTCTGATACCATAAGAATAGTAATTTTTTATTATCGTATCATTAGGGAAAATACATCAATGAATAAGACTAGGAAAAAAAGGATGTTTCCACAAATATCTCAACCCTCCAAAAATTAGGAAAAAGAAATGCAAATTAGCAAAAGAAAACATCCTAACTTATCTTACACCTTATCCTAATTATGTTTTGACTTTTCTCATCTTGTTCAAACTCATTCCCAAAAATATACATATTCACATTCTTCCAGGCAGATGAAGATCATGATGATGGTGATGGGCGATGGGATCCCGATTCTGACATGGACATTGGTGATGACCGGTATCCACTTTATCCTTAAATTACTTCGCATCATTTAAATCATATGATCTACATTTCCTCAGTTTGTTGCCTCATTTATCAGTGAGCTTCTCCCGAGAAAAGTAAAGAGAGAAATTGTTGAACCTCAGCTTAATGATCTGGTATGTGTTTCTAAGTTTTTGAAGTATTTAATTAAAATTTAATAATTTGATACTTGTTGAAAGTCTAATATTGGTAGAACATATGATATATGTAGTTAGAAATTGTATATAAATATACTCACTTTGTTACATATTAACAAGTCGGCAGTACCTCCATGTGCTTAATGCACTGTTCAACTAAGAAATTTACCATTATTTCTCAAGGAAAATCATATAATCTCACTATATCAGAACCCTATAAGCTTTAAAAAAAGCACTAGCCCATTTAATTTTGTTCGTTTTCTTAAGTTGTCCCATTTCTTGAGCAACCTACTGTGAGAGAAAGGGCCAGGGGAAAACCTAGCCAATAGATAGGAAAAACTTCAATCCTTGATCCCGAGGCAACTATGCATAAAGTGTTAATTTCATCAGTACGGTTTAAAGCCACCACAACCACAAAGTTTATAACAATTAAGTAGATTCAGGTTCTAAAATATTAGAATTTAACCATGGAGGGAAAGTGAGGGAAATTGAGAGAAACTCGAGTGTGAGAGATCTGAGAAACCATCTTTCTTATTGAATAAACTTCTGGATGAATCAATACAAGAGAGAGAGGAATGAGCACTATATATAGTGCTAGAGCTAACTCAATGCTGAGTCAGCAGATCTAACAAATTAATAACTAACCTATAACAAACTAATAGAGTATGACAGCTGGTGATACAGCTGGTACAAGAGAAAGAAATCAGCTAAGACTGATACAAGAAAGATAAACTACAACAAGAGAGTTAATATCTAAAAGCTACGCTAATACTCCCCCTCAAGCTCAACAGTGTTGGAGAGGTAGAACAAAATCCAAAACTCTGAGCTTGGTTCTGAAATCAGCAAAGGAGGCTGAAGATAATGGTTTGGTAAATGTATATGTATCTGCCAACTGATCCACTACAGGAATATGAGACACCCGTATGTCCTTAGCTACAACCTTTTCACGAAGGAAATGTAAATCCAACTCAAGATGCTTGGTGCGAGCATGTAAGATTGGATTGTGTGCTATAGCCATAGCACTAAGGTTGTCACATAGGATACGAGGGGTAGAGAGGGACAACTGCAACTCCTGAAAAAGTGACTTAATCCACAATATTTCTCTACATATTAGAGCCATGCTCTTGTATTCAGCTTCAGCAATGGATCTGGCTACAAGGGACTACTTTTTAGACCACCAAGATATCATATCGGAGCCCAAAAAGATACGGGCACCAGAGGTTGATCTTCTATCATTTGGATCACTCCCACAATCAGCATCACATAATGTTGTAAGAGGAAATGAGCCAGACACTGATTGGACTGGCTGGAAGTGAAGTCCAAAAGTAGTAATGCCTTGAAGATATCTCAAAATACGTTTTATTGCTTTCCAATGCTCTATCAAAGGCTGACTCATAAATTGGCAAGCCTTGTTGACAGAAAATGAGATCTCTGGCCTTGTGATTGTAGCACACTGCAAAGCACCAACAACTAATCTATATAGATGAGGATCTTCGAAAGTATTGGAGCCAAACCTTGTTAGCTTGCTCCTAGAAGTCATAGGAGTGGAAATAGGCTTTGCTTCAAGCATGTTAACTCGAGAGAGAAGATCTTTGATATACTTGGATTGAGTAAATAGGTGGCCAGAAGAAGGTCTTTTGACCTCAATTCCAAGAAAGTAATTTAAGTCACCAAGATCCTTTAAGGCAAAGGAAGAATTAAGTTGTGAAATAAACTTCTGAATAAAAGGAACATTGTTTCCTGTCAGAATAATATCATCCACATAGACCAGCATATCGATTATCAAGTTTCCAGCCTTATATATGAACAAGGAGGGTCACATGTGCTTACTTGGAACCCAAATGACAGAACAAAAGCTTTTAGCTTATCAAACCAAGCCCTTGGTTCTTGCTTAAGCCTATAAAGAGACTTGTGAAGTTTACAAACCAGTGATTTATCCTTAGATTCAAAACCAGCAAGCTGATCCATAGACCTCTTTCTCTAGGTCTCCATTGAGGAAGGCATTGTTAATGTCTAGTTGCCTCAATGGCCAAGCAAATGTGAGTGCAATAGCTAGAATTGCTCGGACAGTAACAAGTTTAATGACAGGAGAGAAGGTTTCGATATAGTCAAAACCTGGTCGTTTTGTATTTGTTAATTGTTCCATTTAAACACCCACTTGCATCCTATAGCTTTCCTGCCATAAGGTAAAGGAACAAGAGACCAAGTGTTGTTATTTTGCAAGGCTTCATACTCAGATTGCATTGCCTTGAGCCAGTGGGGGCTGGTCAAGGCCTGCTTAACAGATGAGGACTTAGTGTGAATCAGTAGCACAAGGTTTCTGGCAACGGTTTTTGATCTTGTGTTAATTGAATGTACAAGAGATGATAAACTTAATGAATTTGAGGGTGCATATTCAAAGTTTGAAGACTCTGGACTAGAGTCAGAACTGGAAATGGGAGTAGATGATGATGAAGGTAAGAGTCAGAGGATTGACTAGAAGAGTGACTAGACTGTTGAACACTGTCAAAGGTTGACAAATCTGTGTGAGGAGATACATCAACATGTGAATCAATGGTCACACTGGTATGAGTAGTAGGTAGCACATCAGTATGTGGGACTCTTGAAGGGTTGTTGAGAGCAAGTGGTGAGGCTGCACTGGTTTGAGTTTCTGAAGATAGGATGGACAAAAGAACTATTGTGTTTGTAGGCATCTGTGGGGTAGGATGAGACTTGTGGGCATGGTTGTCAAACTCGCGAGTAAACTCGTAAACTCGGCTTCTTGTCACCCTCAACGTTCCCGTTTCCATGCGAACTCGCTTTTGGCACTCAAGTGGTAGAAACGCCGTGTTTTTTGTCAAACTCATAAGCTCGTATGAGTTCAAGGAAATGGAGAGTGGCCCATGAACCCAAAAATTTGACCCAAAATCCATCGTATAAATGGGTTTTATAAACACAAAAACCCTAATACCTGGTTTCAGTCGCCACGTACGGCTCAGTGAGGTCGCGCGACTCTGTCTGCTTCCTCCGATGTGCTATGTCGTGCTGGATTGTCTTATCCGACGTGCTTTGTCATCGTTTGCAGCTTCTCCGACCATCTTCTCTCTTCGTCGCCGTCACGGTTGGTGTTCTCTGCCTCAGCCTCTTCTCCGCTTCGTTTCTTTCTTCTTTTTTGTTTGCCTCTATTTCGTGTATTTTTTTTTGCTGCCTCTGTTTCTCATTTGTTTATAATTTTTTTTTCTATTTTTAATTTTCACCAATCCCTATTTGCCTCTATTTTTTTTCTCGTTTCTTTTTTTTTGCTTCCTCTGTTTCTCTATTTCTCTGCCTCGATACCTTTTTTTTACATTTTTTTCTTTTTAATTTTTTGCCTCTGCTTCGTATATTTGCTGCCACACGCCCACACCACACCACATGTATATTTGATAAACCAAATTATCGCTTTTTTATAAATCAAATTAGATTTATTTGATAAACCAAATTGCCATTTTTTTTCCTCGTGTTTGCCTCTGTTTTGTTTTATATTTACTGGGAAAAATAAAATTAGTGCAGTAACAATTATTTTGCTTGTTGGTTGAATTAAATTTGCTTATTATATTACTTTATATGCATATAAATATAAATAAATATAATTTATATCCTGTGTTACGATTTTGGTGCACCCTTCCGAGTTTGTGTAGACTCTTGAGTTTGACAACCTTGCTTGTGGGTAAGCCATTCCTTATAGGGAAATCTATACTCATTAAATAGGACTCTTTGGATATGTAGATTTTATCTTCTGGACTTAAACAGATGTACCCCTTATGATTGGATGAATAACCAATAAAAATACATTCCCTTGATTTGAACTCAAGTTTATGTCTATTATATGGTCTAAGGAAAGGAAAACAAGCACAACCAAACGTCCTAAGGAAACTGTAGTCAGGTTGTTAATTGTAGAGTTTGGTGTGAGGAATTTCAAAATTTATGGCAGACAAAGGAAGTTTGTTGATAAGATACACAGAGGTGGTGAATGCATAGTCCCAATACTTAATGGGTAGAGATGAGTGAGATAGAAGGGCAAGACCAGTTTCCACAATGTGTCTATGTTTTCTTTCAACAATACCATTTTGTTGATGTGTACGAGGACAAGTGACTCTGTGCTATTCCATGTGAGTTGAGGTATTGAGTGAAAACTCTAAACTCACCACCCCAATTTGTTTGGAGAGCTTTTAGGGGTAGTTGGAATTGATTTATCATCATGGCATGAAATTGTTTGAACACATTAAAAGCATCTGACATCTGTTTTAATGGATAAAGCCATGTGTATCTAGTATGAGCATCAACAAATGAGATGTAATACAAGTTACCAAGGGTTGATTTTAGGGGTGAGGGTCCCCATAAGTCACTGTGAATGAGTGAAAAGGGTTCCTTATATTTCAGTGTTAGATGATAGAGTGTGTTGTCTGTGAGACTTTGCACAACAACAACAATAATAGAATTCTGCCATTTTATTGCTAATGTGTATATTACAAGCTTTAAGTACACTTTTGAGGGAATCTAAATGTGGATGCCCCAAACGGCAGTGCTACATAGAATACAAGGAACTAGAAGGAGTACATTCACTAGCTCCATTTCCAATAACAGTTCTAGGATATTGACTACTGGTATTATTGCTAGAATTTACAACATTGACAAATTTGTTTGTAGGAGAAGGCAGAGATGAACTGGAAGTGAGATTACTTGACAGTGTAACAAGATTTTTTGAGAGCTTCAAGTCTGAGTAGTGATGTAGACCATCAGTACCAACAGCACCTTGAAGGAGAATTTTATGTAATCATAATGGAATTCAAAAACATAGAATTATTCTTAGCAAACTGTTAGGACTCATTTGTAAGGTATGGAACTTGGAGACCCACAGTGGTTGTATGGGCAACTAATGTGGGGTTTATAAGGCCTTGGGCACTCTCACGCTTTGAGCTAGCTTTTCGGGTGGTGCATCCCAAGGTTCTTATCATAAA